AACTGAAACAATAGATTCCAACATTTTCAAATCCAGCCAATCAAATGTCCGGTACAAAACAATGAAATCTCAACTTGTTCGTTGTGATGCTCGCGACTGCGGTGTCTCAAGCTCAAGCCGTTAGTACTTTCGCGTTAGAAACTATTGTGTTAATTACTTTAGATTTTACATTTACAACCGTGATAGATTCATTAGATTGACCGTTTTCCACTGTGAACGTACGGCCACACAAACATCATCTTTACTGCTGTCGTTTAAAATCGTAGAATAATGTAATAGATTTTGACTCTTTTTAAAAAATAAATTCCGCTCCTGTTGTCCGCAGGTCTCGGAAAAACTGTCGAGTTCACTGTCTCAGGAGCTGTACATTTCGGAGTTTGAGCTCCCTTTCTGGGTTATCAGTGTATTGAAATATCATCTTCATCGAAAATTCAAACGAATTTTCTTTCCGCGTTGTACTTTCAAAGCCTCAGAGTGTAAAATAACTCGGGCAAAAACAAAAGACGGCGCCATAGCTAGGAGCCCTCCTTACACAGAGACCATTAAAGGGTTTCTTTTAAACAGCTGCGACAATATTCAAACCCTACACCACGCACTGTACTGGCAATATATATTTACGAGTGACACTCTTACGCAGCTTTTCTTTTCATGTACAAAACAAACCAACGTTCACATAGAAAGTGCAACATAAAATTCAATTCTTCTTAAACCCGCAAGTAAGCGAAAGTACCAACGACTTGAGCTTGGCAATTCATTGATAAGCGACACCGTAGTCGCGTAAGCATCACGACGAACAAGTTGAGATTTCATTGTTTTGTATCGGACATTTGATTGGCTGGATTTGGAAACAGGACATATAATTGGCTGGATTTGAAAATGTTGGAATCTATTGTTTTGCTGTCTGATTGGTTTTCATTGTCTGAGTGGCCCCGGTTTCAGTAAACGCACTGTAAACATAACTGAGTGATTGATAAATTAATTGACGTCGTGTAGATGGTGGAAATTAAAAAAAGAAGAAATAAAAAAGAATTATAATTACGATACAAGCTGTTTGTAGCAAAGTAAGAATAAACTTCAAGACCAAAAACCTTACCTCTCTCATGCGAGTTTTCCATATGTCGTCATTGTTGATAAGTGAACTTTCAGTTGAATTACTATTCTCTTTGAAAAGGAAGACACGAGTAAGAAATCAAACAGTACACAGTGAAAAGCGGGGTATTAAGTGTTTGCCGGACTTGGCCAAAGCTTCGCAGGTTTTGTCAAGTGTCTTGATAAACAGCTCTTGGTATCATTGAGTTTGTTTAACTATGGCTATCTCCATTTTTTCCCGGATTAACGTCTCCGACCGAACCAAACTTTTTTTTAGAAAAAAAGAAATGTTATGAATAACGATGTTAATGAACTAAACTTTGCCTTGGCAAGTACAGATTTATTGACAGCGTCTCTCAGTTAATGCTGAATATTAGTTTCAACCTTTATTGTAGAGAAAACGTTGTGTTGAATATGTAATCATGTAATGCTGTTTCAAGACGCCACAGCAATAGTCATGATACTCTATTAAACTATACTAGGCAACGATACAAGACCTCCTAGTCTGATATTCCTTTCGTCTTTTTTGAGCTTGTTTATTACTCCTTGATAAACCGATAGTTCAAATTCAGAAAACTTCTTTGACGCTGTGGAATTAATTAAAGGCGGTGGCCTTAAGACTGGCAAAGTTGTAGCGGACTGCGAAGTTATAGTACCTGGATCGTAACGGCTTCTTCCATAAGGCGGGTTAAAACGTTACTTTTTGGAGAAAGTGTTGTCATTGGAATGTTTTGTAGAGATACAATGTTTTAAGTTCGCTGACTAACTTCTTGAAAAGCGAAAATGTGTTCTTCACCCTACTCCGACAGGTGGAGTGGTCTACCGAAATATTCTTTGTTGCATATGGTTGAAAGATCTTGAAAGTAAAGTGCTATAATGTTCTCTGATAATTTTAATCACGCGCACTTAGTAATATCATGATCACTGAAACTAACCTTCTTGAGGTATCGGACATTTCCACTGTGGAAGAGCCATGATTGCAAATATAGGAGCAAGGTAACCATAATCTCCTCCTTGAACGATAGGAAGCCTGCAGTCATTTAAAGTTATAGAATCTGGTCATTTGNCAGGTGGAGTGGTCTACCGAAATATTCTTTGTTGCATATGGTTGAAAGATCTTGAGAGTAAAGTGCTATACTGTTCTCTGATAATTTTAATCACGCGCACTTAGTAATATCATGATCACTGAAACTAACCTTCTTGAGGTATCGGACATTTCCACTGTGGAAGAGCCATGATTGCAAATATAGGAGCAAGGTAACCATAATCTCCTCCTTGAACGATAGGAAGCCTGCAGTCATTTAAAGTTATAGAATCTGGTCATTTGGTAAGTGTGAACAGAGTTCAAAAGTCATCAGCGGATAAAGATCATTTGTCTGACTCTCTAGTCGACTAACCTTAAATTCATTAGTGCTAAGTTTACACATCATGAACTCATTGTCGTAGCAAAATATATTTTAATGAAGTGACCCGTTTTAGCTCATATTGGATCAGAAATCACGCAATTGCATTGAAGCATGAATGATCACGCACATGGGTGACTGCAGGTTAATTGTTTGACGTCGAAATTATAACTAGCACGATTGTACGAACAATCAGTTTGATCAACTTGATCTTGGACAAGGATTATATTTTTTAAAGGCTTATTTTCAATAGTAATGAAGCAAAAGCAGTGTAAGATGTTGATAATGGCGCCTTTTGTAAGAAAAAAATCCATCAAAAGACGCTACATAACCTGATCATTGTACTGTATCGGTGTATGCTGCCTGTGCTTATTTTTTAGTTTATGAGCTACTAAAAACTGCTGCACTTTTTTCAATACCTGACTCCAAACGTAGTCTGCATCAAGGTTACCAGACCAGAGACGAAGAATATAGTGCTCAGTACTTCACTGATAGCAAGCGTGTTGTTCGCAAAACACATTGGACCACTCAGAATGTAAGGAATCGCCAATGTTCCTCCTAACATGGTCAAGTAATGCTAAAGAAAGAAAGCAATGTTAGGATACACCAGGATGCTTCCCTTTTCACATTGTTACTCAATGTTTTCTTCTTTCAGTTTTTTGTTCAATAACTGAAACTGTGGGCGGCAAAAGAATTAACTGAGACGCATTTAGAAACTGCCACTGAAAAATATCGAAGCCCTTACTCTTTTTCGTATGCATCTATGGAT